GCAGGAGATCCCTATTCTCTGTCTCCTTCTCTCTCCTTTTATCTCCTGTAAGAAAAAATGTGATGTATGCCACACCCCAGGGAAACTCCCCTTACATAGGATCAGGGCTGTGACCTGAGTAAGAGTGTTCCATCCCAGCCTAATCCTCTTACAATTGATTGGCTGATCACACCAGATCACATCATGGGGGATGATTACGTAACTGCCAAATTACAACACCACATAACTGCCGAACCACCAAGGATCATGGCCCAGCCAAGTTGACACATTTTTTGGGGACACAGTTTGATCCATGACAATGTCCAAAGCACATGAGTTTTACCATTCTTGCTTCTAAGGAGCATTCTGGCTGTACTTCTTCCAAGACAGATTTGTTCATTCTTCTTCACCAACACGATAATTCAAATGCAATTCTTAAAAATTACAGCTTTGCCATCTAAAGTGCAACTGTCGGTCTCTCTCCCAGTCCAAAGCAACGCAGAGTGAAGAAAATCAAAGACACATGGAAATAATTAGTCCAAAGACTACATGATCCCCAGCCTCCATGACTCTGAGACCAGAAGAATGTGGTGCCCAGCTACCACTGCTGACCGCTCTGAAACAGAACACAATAGAGGGTCTTGGATAGAGTGAGATAAAAATGTGGGAAAAAAAACTCAAAATCCTAAAAACAGATCAGGCTTACTGTTCTGAGAGAGGCTGGTGGAACCCCTGAGACTGTGGCCCTTAGTCACCTTTCAAGCCTGGGACTGAACTCACTACCTATGGATCAACTTTCAGCCAAATGGCCTATAAGGTGAACAATAACACCAGGAAGGTACACACTCCTTTGAACAATCAACCACTTGACATCAAGAAGGCATTTGCCCAAGGATGGAGCTCAGAGACAGGAAGAGACAGGAAAGAAGGAGTAAGGGAACCACATGGAGGAAGTGGGAGGAGAGCTGTCACACTGTGGGGACTGCAGTCAATGTCATGAAACAAAATGTCTATGAACTGTTGAATGGAAAACCAATTTGCTCTGGAAACTTTCACCCAAATCACCATAAAAAGTTCCAAAAAAAAAAAAAAAAAAAAAGATTGTCACCTTAAAAACCCTATGGGACAGTTCTACTCCATGCCACCGAGTCACTATAGTTGTTGTTTGTTGTTATGTCCCATCGAGTTGGGGTTTCCGAGGCAGTATCACTATGGAAGTAGATTGCCCAATGTAAGTAGATTGCCCAATGGAAGCAGATTGCCCAACCTTCCGAGGAGTGGCTGGTGGGTTTGAACTTCCAGCCTTCTGGTTAGCAGTCAAGTGCCTTAGGCACTATACTACCAGAGCTCCTAGTCACTATATAGTCATGGGGAATTGGAATGACTGGATGGCAATGGGTCTTTTGTTTTGTTAATAAGGCCCTATAAGGCCCATCATCACAAGCACTACTCCTCCATCCAGGAATAAAGC